GGTCTGCATCTTAACTCGCGTGACGTCCAACATGCAGGGCACCGTTTCACGGACAGAGGTAAACCTTGACCGCGCGGTTCGAAAATTTGACGTGAGGACTCCTAGGATCAACTAAGTCGCACAGACAAGGGAGGAGCGAAAAATTCCGGGATATAGGAACTGGGTAAAAGGTTTCAAAAGTTTGGCAAAGGAAAACGCACAAGGTGAGCCAACATCGTACTGTGTATCTTGGCGGAATTCAATTGACCTGAAGCGCAATACCCGCGGTTTTCCATTTATACTGTAAGGAATATTGTATATCCGAGAGTTCTACGGCACAATAACGAAGGCTTTGTCTTAATAGCACCCGCAGTTTTACTCTTACTTTTATATCTGCTCACGTTGTATCCCTGTTTATAAAATTTGCAAACTCGTTTAAATGATTGATACGTAGCCTAGCCATAATGGCATGGGCACCAGCACCAGGTCATCCACAGGGAAATGCATGACAGCCACGTTAGTCCAGGAGTATCCGTGTGGGAAGGATGGCTGCACTGCTGAGGTTTTTGACGAAGGCATAGGCTGTGACACCTGCAGCACCTGGTTCCACCCGAAGTGCAGTGGGCTGACGAGTGGCAGCTTCCTACTATACGGGCAACACAAACTGCTAAAGTGGGTGTACCCAGCCTGCACAACTTTACTGAGGGATCTTAAAAAAGAAGAAAGGCCGGCGTCCAGACCTAAACTAGAGCCCAAAAGGAGGGGATGCATGGCTTCTGTTCCACCCTCGGTCGAAATGGAAGAAAGAACAGTGCCTGAAAAAGTAAGCACAAAGGTAAAAAGACAGAAAAAGAAGAGCGGAAACCAAAGGGACACCTGCTAACATGACATCTAAGAGTTAGATCATAACCACCGTTGAGAACCTAGCTAGGCGGATGGATGGGCAGGAGGAAAACTTGAATTGTCTCAGAAAGGAAAAAACATCTTGGCTGAGGTGGTTGATAGGCTGCGAAAGAACACCGATGTAGCCATTGGTAGATATCGCAACGCTCTCATCCACGGTGTACCAGAACCGTTCATGAGGCATGTTAGACTGAAGAAACGGTACATGCGGGAGCACTTGGCCACGTTGTTAAGAGCGGTAGCGTTCCCCGACCATGCACTGCTCAAAAGAGTACTTAGACTTGGGCAGTGGAGGGACCCTAATGCGATAGGAGCAACAGAACCTAGGCTCATCATATTACAATTCGGGAACTCCAGGCATAGGGACAGGTTCTTAGCTGAAGCGGAAAAGATCCGGACATCCTCAGGTGGCAATTCGAGTGACATCCGATGATCGGCCTAGTAGGAGATTGAAATCGCGTGGTTGGCGCAAGCGCATCAAGCAAGAGTCGTTGTGCCCAAACTGGCCGGTGAAATCATGGATCCAGGGGCCTTCCAACTCCACACAAAGCCTCAGGAAAGTCCTAACGGACCAAAACCGTCATATAGGGAGGTTCTTCTGAGACGGCCCAAGGATAAAGGACCCAGTAGACCAAAACAGGCTCGAAAACCTGATTCGTTTGGGGAAACGAACGAAAGGGCAACAATAAACGAAAAACAGGCCCAGAAAACGGGACACAAGCTCGGGAGTAAATCCCGAGGAGCCACCCTCCCCTAGCAAAATGCCGAACACAAGGGGATGAGTCCCACTGCACATTGCATACACAAATGCGTGTAGCGTGGGAAACAAATGGTCAGAGATCAAAGTAGAGGCAGGAAAATGCGATGTTGTGGCAATCACGGAAACCTGGCTCTGGCCAGGATTAGGCATCAAGCACCAATACCCGCCAGCCTTCTGCGATTATCGGACCGACAGAATGGACGGTGGGATAGGTGGAGGGACCCTCATATTAGTGGTACAGCACCTACACCAAAGCCACAGGGGTGATCTCACGATATCAACGCCTAGCATCCAGGTTTCCGGCTGTGTAGTGAGCGTCGGTCACACCAAACTAATGGTAGTTAGTGTTTACAGAAGCCTATCATCCACGGCCAACGAGGATGAGTCGCTGCTACTCACGCTACGTACGGCAGCTCGCCACAATGGGAAACTTCTGATCCTCGGGGATTTCAACACCCCAGAGATCAACTGGGGTAAAGAAAGTGCCCCATCGGGTTCCTTTGGCCATGCGTTACTGAACCTGCTGCACGATGAAGCCCTCGTGCAACACGTAAGAGAGGATACGCGATGGCGAGATGGCAGCAGGCCCAATAGATTGGACCTGGTAATAACGAAGGGGGCGAACGATATAGAAAGTATTCAGGTAATGACCCCACTGGGTAAAAGTGACCATGCACTACTTCATCTTATCATATCCATCCGAGGGTCAACCGCCCCCGACAAGAGAAGGCGAAATTATGGGGGAATGAACACAGCGCAGCTCCTACGAGATGCAAATTCTATGTCATGGGAGTTGGACCCCAGTGAGTCATTAGACGAGAGTTGGAATCTAGTTAAGTCCAACGTACTGCAGCTCACGCATACTCATGCTCCGCTGAGGAAAATTAGGAGAAACGGCAAGCCACCGTGGTGAAAGGCGCGAGTGTAGAAGTCTCAGGCTCATAAACAACGAGCGTGGGGAAGACTGATAGCCTCAGGCAGCCACCGCGGGTTCCTAGAATACGACCGAATGCGGAAGCGCGCAATAGCGGTCCAGCGGGCCTGCAGGGTAGCATATGAAAGAAAGCTGGCGACGAACGCGAAACTCGACCCCAAAGCCTACTTTAATTATGTCCAATCCAAGGCCACAATTAGAGGGGCGGTCGGGAACGTCCGAAATGAGGACGGAGTCAACGCAGAATCAAACGCTGAAAAGGGGGATATTTTCCGCCGCTACTTCGAAAGGGTTCACCAACCGGATAGAGGGGGAAACCCTCCACTCCCCCCCCCCTTTAGAACGGGAATACCCGCAATGGCCGAAGTCATCATTATAAAAGATGAGATAAAGGCCCAACTGCAGGCGCTGAAGAGCATCAAGGCAGCGGGACCCGATGATATTCACCCGGCTATCCTGAAACCGCTGGCTGAGGTGCTTGCTGTACCACTAGCAAAGCCTTTTAACTGATACCTCTAAGAGGGGCGGTTGCCGGAAGACTGAAAGGTGGCAAATGTGGTCCCCAAACACAAAGGTGGGTATAGAAACCAGGCTGAAAATTATAGGCCGGTTAGTCTAACCTCAGTACCACTAAAATTAATGGAAAGGCTACTGAGGGACAAGGTCGTGGCCCATTTCACGCGCCACCATCTGCTATCAGCGAAATTACACGGGTTTATGAGGAGGAGATCTTGTCTCACGAATCTACTGGTATTTCCAGATGAGATCATCGACACGATGGATAAGGAGGAGAGGGTGGAGGTCTGCTACTTGGACTTACAAAAGGCGTTTGACTCTGTAAACCACAGGCTACTGCTCCTGAAATATACGACCTTCAAAATCCACCCACAACTGATCGCATAGACGGAAGACGTCCTGCGGCGAAGGTCTTTTCATGTTAATATAGAAGGGACCAAATTAATGGAAGGCAGGATAGCCAGTGGAGTCCCACAGGGATCAGTTCTATGCCCGCTTCTATTCCTAGCCTATGTGAACGACTTGCCGGCGAGGTTAGAGAACCCAGCATTCATGTTCGCTGACGACCTGAAACTGGTAAGCTGCCCCTTAAATTAGTCCATGCAGAGGGATTTGGACACC